TGTTATGCATGCCCCTACCTATTAGTAAATCACCGATGGCATATAGTATGCTCAATTTCTCCCAATTGCTTGTCATGGGCCTCTTAATGTGATATCACTTTATGCATGGAAAAAATTGAGTTCGATTAGAGATACCCTACAACCATATTATTAGGGGGGGGTGTAATATTAATTCAAAAAAATCATTTCTACTTTTATCGTTTCGTACTAAGAATGAAAAGTTTATACCTATAAAAAATGAAAATACTATTATAATTTGATCCTTTTATTTTACACATCTAGTAGATTTTCTTAGCATCCAACAACTGGCCAATGCTCTTCAATTATAACAATACAGTCAAACAGTATGTTTGCATCGAACCTTTTTTATGCTTGATATAAAATGAATTAGGAAAAAAAATTGGTTTTGTTGTGCTTTCTGGGGCATGCATGGCCGAAGATAGTGAGAAGATTCCCCCCCTAAAATGTTAAATAGAAATCAATTAACAATGTTGATGCAATTTTACATGCGTTCCTCCAGAACAGAAATACTTCACCTATCCCCGTCAATAAAAAGATTTATAATCACGCTATCTTAGGTTTAATACAATCATATTTTTGATATATATTTAAGATGGCCACATCAAAACTAAACCTGTTGGCTTTATTAATGCTATTGTTTCACACATATAATACACAACTATATTTGTTAATTACATCCAATGTGATATTTAGTTTTTCTTTTGAAATGACTATCTGTTCTTGGTACATACATCCCTTTTCATAATTCTGATGAGAGAGATACTCTACCACAATTATGTCATGATACCAAGGCATGGTTTGTGTTTTGCTTAGAGAGAATGTTTGTGACAAGCAATTAAAAGGAAGAAAAAAAAAAAAAAGCTCCACTCGAGTGAGCCCCTTAAGAGTGTGACAAGATTGGTGTATTGTTGAATATTTATTGTCCATCCATGGTTTATGCTTTTAGTAACTTTTATTGATGGAATAAAAGAATATCTGAGCCTCTAGATCCATGGATGTATAGGCTAGTCTTCGTGAGATTTCATTCTCATTAATTGAGATGTCACATAAGCAAGTTTGATGATATGACACTAAAGTTATGAGGAGAGATAGGAAGAGTTTCATCTAGATGAAACTTGGTGTACACTCTTGATATATCTTCACCTTTATGATCTATCCTAGGTGGGGACTCTAGCCCCGAACATGGTTTAACCTGCATGGTACTGGCATTTGTACCGATCATATAGTTCACACATCTTTGTCGTCAAGTTACAGAGCTCTTTTGGGCCCACTAGATCTTTACCAAGCTCATACTTGTATGCAAGGGTGTTGATTCAATTTCATGGCCTCCTTGGCTCGACTCCTATAACCTGAACTTTTCAAAGGTAGTTAGGTCGACATCTGTCCTAAAATGAGCCATTTCCTGATATCCCTCTTTTAATTCCTCCTCGTGTGTAACACCTTCAATACCAACAATCTTCCTTTTCACTTGGAGCACATGTTTGTCATTTTGAGCATTGTCATTTGCATAGAAGACTTGTTCTTTTGCAAGAACTAACGTTGTCTCTATACAAGATGTTTTTGAGATCCATGATAGTCATACCATCTCGGTCGGTGAAGACCCTCAGGTGTTGAACCCGTTAGCACCAAAGAAAAGGCACCTTTAATGCACTGTAGTCTAACTCCCAGATCTCTTCTACAATATCAAAATACGCCTCCACTTGACATAAATCATCATATACATTGAAATATACACAATTATTTGGTTGACTCTTTCCATCTTGTTTTGTGTAAAATGTATGCATTTATGCCATACCCTTAGTGCTTCAACAATGTAGTGGATGGTCCGAGAGCCAATACAACTCTATTCTATGCTACACTAACATGGGGAAACTAAAGGAACCAAGTAAATCATCACATTTGGTAGAGAATCAAAAGAAACATAATGAAGAAAACTAGCAACATATTAAATGGATTCATAGGTGCTAACCTTAAATTACCGGTGTCATATGAATTCACAAAAATTCGGTAGCCTTTATAAAGAATTCAATAAAAATGCTCTCTAAAGTGGAGAAAAAACAAGCATGAGAATAAATAACAATCTAACCGACAAAACAAACTACAAATTCAAAGTATTGCTAGTTACCCACCTTAATGCAGGAGAGCATGCCCGTCCTTAAAAAACTAAGGTCGTTCATGAGCATTTTTGTGAAAAATGGCTCCAACAATAGAGAGATGTAGGTAGGAAAATGCCTCCTTGGATGGTTGTGCTTGGGATGGGAGGGGAGGAGGAGGAGGAGGAATGGGGCTAGGGTTTTATACTAGTTAGGATACTATCGGGTCAATCCATAACTCGGCAGTGATATCGTACTCCTGCTCGTGGGTCAAGCCATGACTCGACATTAACATATCATTGCTAGCCTGGGGTCTGATCCGACAGTGATGTCACTGCTGGGGCGTGGCTGTTGTATGGAGCTCGCGACCGCGTCTATAGTTGCGTGGGGCAGGAGTTTTTGGGAACCGGTATCACTACTGGCTGAGAGACCGGTAGTGAAAATTTCTAGGCATCATTGCCGCTTGCCCACTGTCAACTCCAAATCTGGCAGTGGTATGATGCCGGTTTGCAAATCGGCATCAATTGCCATACATATGTAGTAGTGCCCAGAAGCCAAATCGATGTTTTTTTCATCAGCGTGTGATGCATAACATTTATTACGTTCATTCCTAAAAGAATGTAAATCTACTTTTGTTTTTAGTCAAACTATTTTAAGTTTAACAAGATTTATAAAAAAAAATTAGAATTTATAAAAATATATATTATAAATCTAATAATATATATTATAAAAATATATCATGATAAATCTAATAATACTTATTTTGTATTATAGAAATTATAATTTTGATCAGACTAGAAACAATTTAACTTATGCCTATGTTAGAGCAGTTGTATTCTTTTGAATGGAGATAGCAAGAGAGATGCGGTAGTACAGCTGCCCGCTCATCCCAGTTGATGAGTATGTACGTGTGGCAGTCATGCATCAGACTACCTGCCAAGGTGTTTTACTGGTTGCCGTCTTTTCGTCGGGCAGTTCTGTACCTTGCCAACGATTGCTGTTGCTGGAACCTTGCCCACCAAGTGTTGATGTCTTGATGATCCAGTACAAAGTGCCGGGTACATACTTGTGCTAGCTAGCATGCGGTGCAGCCGCATGTCCAGCTTCGTTTATGCGACGGAAACTTGACGAAAACCACAAAGTTCAAAATTGTGTGATTTGAAAGTCAAAACCATCAGTTTATACACCAGTGTATGTGTTACAGTATTTTAATTTTTTCTTTGTCTTAGAAACCGTATCGTCGATCACGTCAGTGCCACAGCCCTATACATTCCAGGGGTGTTTGAAACATGCGAATTTCATTAGAATTATATTATATTGAATTGGATTATTCCCTGTATAATATGAATTAGCTAGAGGGAGATAAAAGGCCATGTTTATTTGGAACACATGGGTTTTAGATGCATGTTTTTACCTCTAGCTATCACGCATGATTGCATGCATCAGAAGTTTCCGACGGTTTATACTTCTTCTAAGGTCATGTAAAATAAATGTGCTTAAAGAGAGATGTCATATCATTAAGTATTAAGCGTCGATATAAATTTAATCCATACAATGCAAACATAAGCTCAAGTAAGTCGTTAGCACAATACTCAAATATGTTGTCCACATTTTAAGCACTAGTACTATGTATGCTAGGTACAAATAATGACAAGTTGAAAAAAAAATGATCCTTTGACTAAGCAGTAAGCACCCGTAGACTGATTGTGCATGCTATGTGATTGCAGCACAATCAGTACACCTATGAGGCCGCCACGTCAATTCACATGCTCAATCCAGAGGAATTAGCTCCTTATATAAGGCTTAATTTCCACTAATTTTCTTCTACAGTATTTATCTTTGTTTCTTTCTTTCTCTCTTGAATCTTTTTTTTCCCCTGTGTGTGGATTGGCCTGGGGTCGGGTATCAATTGTCTCATTTCAGTTTTGTGCAAGCCCGGCTACTACAAATGCAAGAGAATTGCTCACCAGGCCTAGCTGGCCCACTCTAGTTTACCAACGCCAGGAAAATGGTCTTTTAAGTTTTAACTTGGGTTAGCTAGAGTGTCCCAGTTCTAGTTTAGTATAATTTTGGAACGGAATTCCTTTTGAAACATACTTTGCATGTTAGTATATTTTTTTCCTTGGTTTAGCCTCGAATCTTCGATTGTGTTCTCAAGCTAACGTAGACATTATTTCCGCGTGTGATGTGACATGTATGATGTATCACATCAATGGTTGTTTCGCGATCAGTTAAGGAACCGTTGTATATTGCTTACAATTGCAAATAGAGCGTAACTCAACTGTTTAATTAGGTTCTGTGTTATAAACTTGCTCACTCAGGTTTCTCGACTTAACGCGACTGTTTGTGTTTTTCTAAATTTATACTAGAATTTAAAGATACAATTCTTTCACAACTTACCTATCAAAAACAGCCCATCTTAAGATCTGAATCTCAATCTTTGCGAGCATCTGCATCTGTTCCATTGAAAATACCATTTCCTATTTCCTTCTTTCTATTTTGACAAACAAGATATGTAGAATGGTTTTTTGTTGAACGCAGGCGTGGATTGACTTCTTCTTGTTTTTTTTATTGAACGCAGACATGCAGGTACAGACAAGCAAGTTATGTAGAATAAGCTGTAGCTGACCAGCGTATGCAGTCAAGAGCTGGGCGGACACGCTTCCATGGAGATGATAGCTACTGATTTGTTTCAGTTGAAGCGGACAAAATGATCAACCAGATGCTGGACGATCGGGAATAGCACCATCGCTGAAATCGCTCTATATATACTGCTCCCTACAGACTACAGAGTACACTCACCGAGTGTAGTGCAAGAGCAACAGGATAATAACCAATCAAATGAACGACTTATTCTGATGAAACATGGCCACTTTGTGCACAAATCTATGAAAGTCTTGAAATCAATACGGGTGGTTGTGATTGTTCAGGCAGGGAGCTGCGTCGTTCAGGCACCTGGAACAACAAAGTCCACAGTTTTAAGTGTACTACTACACAAGAAGGATCACATTTCAGTCAGGTTCATTGCAGGCTATGCAGATTTTGTTGTACGCAGTGCCATTCTCTCTTTCTGCTTACGATATTTAGACAAGACCACAACTGTCACTGCTTTGTTATGCAAACTGTGATACCACTCTGTAACTATGCTTGTTCAAGTGATCTTCATACAGTGTTCTTTTTTATTACCTTGGTGCTAGAGGTCTTCTGGAGGAATCCCTTTTCTTGCAGGGATTTCACTGCTTCATACAGGTATTCATGCGCTGGCGTGAACTTGATTCCTAGGTCCTTCAGAGGCTGGTTTGTGAACTTGTAGCCCTTCTTTGGTGGATTCACCAGATCCTTGCACCTGCAGAAGTGGCATGCTACTAGTAAGTTAGATTGACAATAATTCAATATAGTGCTGCCAAAGTAAGGGGGTGTTTGGGACTGCTCCACAAACTGCACTTTAGAGCAGCTCCACAAAAAACTATAGTTTGTGGAGCACATCTTTAGGTGCTCTCATAGTCTCATAGCGTGCGTGGAGCTAAAACCGTTTGGCTAAAAAACGTGGATCGGAGCAGCAGTCCCAAACACCCCCTAAATGGTCAATGCATTGTCTTAAAGCAATTTGAAACTCCAGACACCATGTATGATGTTGCTATATCTTGAAAACAAGGCAAAATATTTTTGCTTTGATGTTGATTAGGCTCCATGTGCTGTCTTCAAAGAAAAGAATAGGCATTGTTTTGCTTTTAAGACTATCTCTAACAACATCACCTAAAATACAAGACCCATTCCATGTTTGGGTAGCGCTACAGGTAAAGGGTTCAATACCCATTTTTGGTCTTCTCCAACAACAGGACCCAAAAGAGAACCCTTTCTGCATATGAGTCTCCAGGAGAGAGGATACTCATATTTGGATTGTGCCTCTGCTGTAACCCAAAATGAGTCTCGCATATAGGTATTCTGTTGGAGGCTGATACAGTACCATCCACGACCCATTTTAGATTCGGATCTCCATATGGGTCATCCATTGGAGACAGCCTAGGAAATCCCAGACATTTAGACACCGGTCACACCACTTCTGTTTATCAACAGAACATTTGCAAGCACAGAGGTATATATAGTAATAAAAGACTCCATGCATAAGAAGTGCATGAGCATTCACATGGCCAAATTTAGTCTGGATGTCAGTTTCCTAAACGTGGGTATTTTTTTGACAATGGGTATTTGACTCTGCAGCTATGCAATAATGCAAATAAAGTATTGTGCAGCATCAGATCGAGTTTTCTATCCACGGATACCCTTAATTTTGGCCATCTTGACCTTGTCTAAAATCTATTAACTACTCGTTAGTGACCAGACCAATTGGGTTTACTCATAAACCCCCTTGACCATTTATTTCTTCATATTACTGTGCAGAAGTTGAATTTTGGAGCAGTCCACTATTGCTTTCCTTTGATTTCTTCATGTCCGAAACGAAAACTATTGGTTTATATATAGAACCAATATAAAATGCTGCAACTCAAGCAGAGCAGCCGCATTCTTTAATGTTCCTAAACCATGCTAGCGAATTCTTCAATTTCTTCATCAGAATACTAATGCGTCATGAATCTTGATTGAAGCAAGCCAACATCAGCAGTGATTCAGACTTGAGAATAGAGGGCACTCCAAGAAGCTGTGAATTGCCATACCTTGTCGGAATAGGGTACTCCGGGAAGAGTCCGGCGAGCATGCGGCAGAGCTCGCCGCGGTGCAGAGTGCGCTCGGCGCAGACGTACCGCCGCCCGCCGGCGCCAGGCGCCTCGAGCACCCTGACGTGCGCCTCGGCAGCGTCCTTGACGTGCACGTAGGCATGCGATTTGTTGACGTACTCCTTGGTCTGCCCAGTGAGGTACTTGAGTATGTGCAGGGTGCTGGTGTTCATGCTGGGCTGCAGCAGCTCGCCGAGCACCACCACCGGGATGACCACCGCCAGGTCCAGCCCCCGCGCCCGCGCCGCCTCCCACGCGCCCTGCTCCGCGATCGACTTCGCGTAGCAGTACCAGTTCTGCGAGTTCCAACGGCGTCAGGACTCGGGAGAGATTTCTTTTGTAATTGATTTGCAGGCGAGATTCTCGGGGTGAAGAATCGATTCCGTCTTTCATTTACCTCGGTGCTCTTGCAGTACTCGAGGTCGCTCCAGCTGGAGTCGCCGAGCGGCGCGTCCGGGTCGCGGCGCGGGTCCATGTACATGGTGCCGATGGTGGAGGACAGCACCACGCGCCGCACGCCGGCGTCGGCCGCGGCCTCGACGACGTTCCGCGTGCCGGCGATAATCGGCTCGATGATCTCCTCCTGCCAGCGGGGTAAAAAGGAAGAAAAAAAAAAGAGTTTTAATCCTTGCGCTCGTATTGTATCGAAGGAGAGGCGAGGTCTGATCATTGGCGGCGGGCAGCGGCGTTTACGGGATTGTCGTGCATCGGCGAGGCGGTGTGGATGACGCCGTCGCAGCCGCGGAAGGCGGCGCGGAGGCTGGCTCGGTCGAGCAGGTCCACCTGCAGCATGGTGAGGCGCTCCGCCGCGCCGTCGAGCGCCCACAGGTGCGCGTTCTTGGGGTCATCTGGCGCCGCCAACCGAACCGAATCGGAAATCCGAGATCCAGGACCGCCGCCACAAACGACAGCCAAAAACGACCCGTCACGTCAGCGACATAACATTCCCGGGGACCAAGAAATGGGTTTTGTTGGGAATGCGGGGGGACCGGGAGATGGAACGGAGACAGGGAGGGAGGCAGCAGCAGCAGCGCCCAGGGCGTACCTGCGCGGCGGGAGGTGCCGCGGACGGCGTACCCGCGGGCGAGGAGCATCTTGACGATCCACGACCCGATGAAGCCACCGGCGCCGGTGACGCACACGACGACGGCCATCGCGCCCTGCCTGCCGCCCGGTTCTTCTCCCTCTTGATGGGCAACGGGCGGGCGGTGGTGCCGGTGGGCGCGCGCACGGACGGGCGAACGGAAAAATGGATTCGTGAAGTTCTTTCCGTCAAGAGCGAGCAATAGGGGCAAGGATTTATCGGCGGACGACTGAAAGTGGAAAGAAATGGTACGGTGAGGCGGTGGAAATGGCACCGAACGCGAGCAGAAGAAGCCGGCGTCAAGGCGGTCGCGGTCGCACGGTCATGTGAAACGCCAAGTGCCACGACCTTGACGGCGACGAAGACTACTCCTGAGTCCTGACTACCACCACCGCCACCGCAGACCGCACCTGGAGTCGTCTGTCTGTCCGGCGTGGTGTGTGTGAACCTCGCATACCAACGGCAAAACGGGAACCGTCATCCCATTTGCATTTTCTGCCTAGCGTTAAACGTGTGGTACAGCTACAGGTACAGGTACAGCCGTCTCTAATCTAATCTCTTGTTTATAATGACTGCCACCAGCACTCGAGCAGCTGTTTATGTTTCAAAAAAGCAGCTGTTTATTATTTTATCCTTACTATAGTAATATAATCTCTATTATAATAGATCAGTCGAAATTATACTAGATCTCCTATGAAAACATCCTCCGCTGAGAGCCTTCGATCATTGCTCTTCTAGAAAAATACACAGCATCATTAAAATTAAGGGTTAATCAAAATTCCCCCCCATCGCATCCACAACGCCGCGCACACGTCTGCCAGCAGCAACACCGACGGCACGGAACCTTGCGCAGATCGCGCATGCGCGTCGCCGCACCAAAGCCGTCACGACCGCTGCACCCGTGGCCTCCGCGCGCGCGCTGCGCCCGCGCCTTCGCCTTCCTGTCGCCGCTGTGCTGCGCGGCCTGCCGCCGCCGCTGCCACATGGAGCCCAGCCACAGCCTCCAGCGCGCCTCTCCTGGCGTCGCACAGGCACATCTCCGACAGATGATTCCGCCATCGCACCGATGCGCACGAACGGCAGAGCCATGGCGGAGGTCGAAGCGGATGAGGGCAGATGCGGCGGGCGTCGGACTCCGGATCCTACGTCCCCGGCGTGGATGCTGACGCGCCGCGCAGCCGCCGACGCCGCCCCAGCAGCAACCTACCGGCCTGAACTCTTGCGCAGCGCGCAAGCGTCCCGCAAAAGGATCACGACGCGCTGCACCTCACCGGCGCCGATCCGGCGCCTTCGCGGGGAAAAGGGGCGGAAGGGCGCACCACGCTTATGCCGCCGCCCAGTGATGGAGCACGGCCCGCCCCCAGGCGTAGATCTGGCGCGCAGGCACGCTGCCGCGGCACGCATGGTGCACGAACGGCAGTGGCCATGGCGGAGGTCGAAGACGATGTTCCCAGATGGGCGGGCGTCGGTGCCGGCTACGTCCACGTCGGCCGTTGCAGACGCGAATGCAGCCGCCGACGCCGCCCCCAATTGGCCACCGAACTCCGCCCGAGCAGCCACAGGCGTCCACTAACCTGGATCGGACCGAGGATGCCGGATCCGGCCTCTATGTCGCCGGATCTGCCACCACCTAGCTGGAACCAGGAGAGCACCCGCCACCCAGCCAGTCAGCCACCACTGAGTTGGGCTACCATGGTGACAACCTGTTGGCGAAGATTAAGATTAAGCATGGGAAAGCCGGCCCAGAGCCGCAGAGCGTCCCGACCTCTTCGCCAACTGGATGACGGACGGCGTCGAGGGAGGAGACTGGGTTTCCGTTGACTCGAATACAATCATGCGTGGAGAAGATTTATTACTAACCTGGACAGATTAAGCATGCCTGAGCCGGATCGGAGGGATTATCTTCGCGCTCTAGCTGGATGAAGGGCGAAGGCCGCAGGGTCTCACTGGGTTGGGTTCCCATCTAAACCGTTGACTCGAAGATTAAGATTAAGCATGCCTGAGCCGGATCAGAGATTCAGAGCTACAGTATCACCTTCCCCAACTGGATGAAGGCCGAAGGCCGGATGCCGCAGGGTTACTGGGTTTCAGTTGACTCGAATACAATGCCGTACACTACATACGAATTAATAATTTAATTTATTATATCTACCATGCACAGCTATTAAAATTGTTGCGTTAGCACATGCATTATACTAATATAAAAAAAAAGGTGCCTGTACAAGGATCACGTGGGCACGTGGCTGGGGATTCTCTTTTGTCGGTCTCTCGCTCTCGCAGTCGCCGTGGGTGCACGCGGATGACGAGTGGTGCACTGGTGCCTGCCAAGGATAAATAAGGAGAGAAAATAAATAAGTAAATAAGGAAGATAAAAGAAAATAAGGGTATTATAGATATTCACCATTTTTATCTACAATGAAGATCTGTTTTATCAAAAGTTTTTCTTAAATTAGTCTACTCCACTATATAGCTACTCCATATAAGAAAAGCTACTCCACTATATATATATTGAAGCGGAGCTACATCAAACGCGTCCCCAACCCTGTCTTCTAGGAATGGACCAGGAGAACAATTGCCAATTTACGTGGACTCTGTGTTAGTTTCCACGCTCGGGCGGGTCGTGCACGCACTGCACTTGGAGGTGGACCGAATTGGTCATCTTGGGCCCCAATGGCCACTAAAACCATTTCCACCAACGGTCTGGACCGTGGACTGAGCACTACTCGCAGTCCGCGTCAACACCACTGCTGCCACCACCCGTGCGGGGGGAGGCCCAAATCACGCGCCTTTCCCTACTGCACCCCGGCAAACAACCCGCATTGTTTGGGTGCAATTTTCTCGTTCACGCTTGCCTGAGCCTGACGGCTGATCCCCATTCGTCCTAGCCCTCTCCCCCTCCGGCACTCCGATCTATCCATGGACGCGGCGGGCGGCGAGCAGCTGAGCCTGGCCGCGGTGCGCGACGCGCTGGTCCGGCTGGAGGACTCTGTGGTGTTCGCGCTCATCGAGCGCGCCCGGCATCCGCGGAACGCGCCGGCCTACGCGCCCGCCGCCGCCGGCGGAGGACATTCGCTCGTGGAGTTCTTCGTCCGGGAAGCAGAGGCCCTCAACGCGAAGGCAAACTTCTTCCTTTTCATGCCTCGCTTGTTCGTCTTATACGCCGGCCGCGGCGCAAAGGCCCTGCCCTCAGTTTTCTCTGTTAAGATTTGTATTGCTTTGCCTGGATGAGGAACTATGCGGAGGAGGCCAGACGCTGATCGGGCCGAACCTATCGTCTGTTTTGTGAACGTGGTCAGCTTACCTACGATTCAAGGTGGCATGGTTTTTGGAATTCAGCTGAAATGTAGAGACTGCAGTTGTTGCCATTGGTACATACCTATTTTTGTCTTGTGAAATGCTTAATTTAGGTCTGATCTAACTAATCAAGTAAATCGTCTGTAGAACTTCAGTACACTAGGATTGAAATAAGGGCTTCTTCTTTTTTAGGTTCACATTGTATGCAATTATGGCACTTCTTGGTGAAACCCAGATCTTATCAGGGTAGAGATGGATTTTGGTTCTTTGAGCACACTCGGCACTTCTCTACATGGCTTTCCACTGTGTTGATTCGAAGAACTGAATCCTGTCTCTATTTGTTTGTGTCAAATTCAGTTGGCACGCAAAAATAAAATGTACTTCCTATTATTTATCTAACTGAATAAGTAATATGATCAATCATTGTTTATTGACATTAATTTAAGTGCTTAACAAAATGTTCTTATCCAAGCCGAATAGCACAGAGGCTACTGGTGGTATTACTGCACAGACACTGCAACGATAACATTTCTGTGCTATCTCCTTCATAATCTCAATACATGTGTGAATTTTTTATATACTGCAATAGTTGACATTCTTGTGCAATCATACACAATCTCAATACATTCATGAATTCTGAATTCTCATAGGCTGGACACTATCAAAAGCCAGAAGATGTTCCATTCTTCCCTCAAGATCTTCCCTTGCCTCTCTTTCCTACCAAGCCTTCCCCAAAGGTGCACATAATCAGGAATTAACCTTGCAGTATCAAGAACTGATAGTGATAATTGCTGCGATGCTGAACTTCTATTGCTTTTTTTATTAGGTTTTGCACCCTTTTGCTTCGTTGGTCACTGTGAATGATGCAATATGGAAAATGTATTTTGATGAATTGCTCCCGTTATTCACTGTTGATGGTGATGATGGTAGCTATGCACAAACAGTTGCACTGGATTTTGCGTGTCTGCAGGTATGAGTTCTATGCTAGAATTTCTTTAACTACAGGAATAAATGCAAATTCCCAGCCTTTTACTTTGAAATTAATAATTATTGTATGCCTGTAACATGCAAGGTTGGTTTCTTGTAGGTTCTATCACAAAGAATTCATATTGGTAAATATGTTGCTGAGGTGAAGTTCAAAGACGCTCCTCAAGATTATAGTCGATTAATAAAAGCAAAGGTCAATCTACAAAACATCTCATTCTCTTCCTCAAATTACCTTATATTTACAGGGTTGGTAGGTTTGGTGGTACTATGTATAGCAATATAAGAAATGTTTGGTGTTCCCAAGGGCTACACATGTTGGTGCACCTTGATAGTTGAAGTTCAACTAAGAAATCAGTTTAATTTCCCAAGTGGGTAGCTTTGTATTTGTATGTTATACATATTATATGCTACTAAGGTACTCTGTCACACTATCACATCTTCAGTGTGCTTTGAATGTGCTTTAGACATGAAGCTCCAGAACACGAACCATTTATGCTTTATCTCACTGTCAATGCAGGACAGCAATTCTCTGATGGATCTGCTGACATTCAAAGCTGTGGAAGAGAAGGTCAAGAAGAGAGTAGAGAAGAAGGCCAGGACCTTCGGGCAGAACATCACCTTGGAGGACAATGCCACTGCCGGTGACAGCGAATGCAAGGTCGATCCTAAAGTGCTCTCCAAGCTGTATGATCAGTGGGTGATGCCACTGACCAAGGACGTCGAAGTCGAGTATCTCCTGCGCCGCCTCGACTGATCACTGATTAGCTGTAGCTGCAAATTTTATGTATGCGTGGTTTTCAGTTTGTTGTGCGCATGCCTTTATTGCTTCATCATTAAAACTCAACTACGAGAGAATGTTACCAGGATCTGGACTTCGTCTGTCTCATCCTGCCTGACCATCATCTGCATGAGTGTGGCACCCATGATATCGAATGTAAGGAATGTAGTCCAGCTGCTTCCATGTTATCTTTAAGCGACTGTTGTTTGTCTGGAAGTGACTGGCAACACAGTAGGGCACCAATTCTCTGGTTCAGAAACGTATTATGTTTCTTGCTTACCTGACAAATACTAATCCAAATAGTTACAGCTTTGACATGTAATCAATAATATGGTTCCCCTGTGGTGATCAGTTAACTAGCCCAAGCTGATTATTACGGGCCTTTGTTGACATTACTGTCAAGCTGAAAAACTTCAGAGCAGGCCCCGATGTTGAACCGTGCAAGGCATTATTTAGGTACACCCATACGATTTGTGCTTTAGTTTTACATCAGCAAATGTAATGGACGCTTGTCAATTGTTTGCGTACGTGATTAAGCCTGCTTTCGCTTGCCTTCCCAGTGAAATGGGTACATTTGTCATGTGTCATGAATGAAACTGAGCTGCTGGGTCTCCACTGCCTCTTTTAACATCCTTACTACAGATTCTCGCAGTGTTACTTCTCATGATATGGAATAGGAAGTTCCTCTTCACGATGATAGTACTTTGTTTTCTGCCCCCTTTGTATGAAAAAGGGTGCATCAATTGGCAGTACACCGTTTGAGTCACTATCCTATCTAGTGTATCAGCTGAGCCTACATGGCCTGAAGATGCACTGGAGAAAGTTTATCTGCAGGATTCTTAAAAATAAAAATAAAGTTTATCTGCAGGTATTTATAGTTCGATTGTTATTAAGGAACTTATTCATGAAAAACTCATACGCAATAGCTAACATCTATGACAAATAATATAGGGAGATTTTTCATGATCTTTGACTTGGGTTCTATCTCTATGATAACGAGAAGAAGCTTGTCGCATCACCGCCATTTCTTGTCAGAGAGGAAGTTCAGAAGAGTAATTACTTGAAAATGCTCGGGAAAAACTAAAGGTTAGCAATTTTTCATGATTTTTTTTTCTGTGGTTTCTTTTGTAACTCTGCTGTTTGAACTTACCTTCAGTTATGAAACTTTGAATCAGTAAGATCCTATAGAGAGTTTGGTTATTTTGACTGATATTTTTGCAGTTCCTTGAACCACAAGCTGATAAAATTCCAATGACTAAACTAAGTACAGATGAGGAGTACTGTCGGGGACCGAATACTGGGGTACCCAAAGAGGAGGAGCTAATAACTATCAAACGGTGATGCTTCCGAACAGACAAGAACGCAACTACACTTCTTGCCCAACGACCAAAGGTTGGCTCCGCCTCGCCCGACCCCCGAGGGCTGGACTCCGCCTCGCCCGACGTCTGGGGGCAGACTCCGCCTCGTCCGACGTCCGAGGGCTGGCTCCGCATCGCCCGACGTCGACCGACACATCCTCAACGCTGTTTTCCCGCCAAGGTACCAGCCACCAACCAACATCCCGAAGTACTCTAGGGAAACAAACCCCAGACTATGGCTCGAAGACTATTGGCTTGCCTGCCAAGCCGGTGGTGCGGATAATGATGACTTTATTATCCGCAACCTTCCACTGTTCTTGGCCGATTCGGCACGAGCATGGTTGGAACACCTGTCGTCCAACAGAATCCAGAGTTGGGCGGACCTGAAGGAGATCTTTGTGGGGAACTTCCAGGGCCCATACAAGCGCCATAGGAACCCGTGGAACCTCAAAACTGCCGTTAGAAGGCCGGTGAGACCCTCCGCGGGTACATTCGGCGCTTCTCTCGGCAGTGCAACGAGCTACCTAACGTCGCCGACACCGACGTTATAGGAGCTTTCCTGTCCGGGACTACCTGTGAGTCTCTGGTTCATAAGCTGGGACACTAGGGCCCACGAACCACCAAGGAACTCCTAGACATCGCCACCAGCCACGCCTTAGGAGAAGAGGCGGTCGGAGCGATCTTTGATCGTCTCGATGGCAAGGCAAGGCGGGACAAGGGCGCCGGCGAAGGTGCCTCCAATTGTTCTGCCAAAAGGAAGAACAAGAAGCAACGGCGCGAGGACTCGCTCGTGGCCGCTGCTGACCGCAAGGGTGGTCGGAAGACCGCAGAGGGCACTCCGAACCATTTTGAAAAATTAATCGAGGGGCCATGCCTTCCCGGTTAAGCATCTATACAAGGACTGCGGCCTAATAGGGTGGTTCTTGTCCAGAGGCTCCAACAAAGGGGAGCAGAGCAAGGACCTTGACCCCACCACGGACAACACTGAGGGGAAGGACGGCGGCTTTCCGATGCCGGACGGTTGCCTCATGATCTTCGGAGGATCGGCGACCTACGACTCCAAACGCCGTCAGAAGGTCGCGCGCCGCGAGGTCTATATGACTGAACCGACCACACCTGCCTTGCTCCGGTGGTCCGAGTCCGCCATAACCTTCGACCGAACCGACCATCCAGAGAGCGTCCCACATCCAAGAAGATATCCGCTCGTGGTAGACTCGATCGTCGGCATGAAGCGGCTCACCAAAATACTGATGGATGGAGGCAGCGGCCTCAACATCATGTATGCCAAGACGCTCGACGAGATGGGCATCGACCGGACACGCGTCCGCCCAACCCGAGCACCTTTCCATGGCATCGTGCCCGAAAAGCAGTCCATGCCACTTGGGCAGATCGATCTGCCCGTTACCTTCGGGGATCTATTCAATTATAGGACGGAAACCCTCACCTTCGAGGTGGTTGGGTTCCCTGGAACCTTCCACGCCATCCTGGGATGTCCATGCTACGTGAAGTTTATGGCCGTCCCCAACTATACATACCTCAAGCTAAAAATACCGGGCCCCGGCGGGGTCATCACCGTCAGCACCTCCTTCCAGCACGCCTATGAGTGCGAGGTCGAGTGCTGCGGTCACGCCGCAGCAATCGTCGCCTCCGGAGAGCTCGTCGCCATCAGGAAGGAGGTCACCAAAGAAGCGCCCGACACCAAGAAGTCGACTGGGCCTTTTGAGCCCGCGGAGGGCTCTAAAAAGGTCCTCATAGATCCTGGCAGCCCCAACGGCAAGGTGGTGCGCATTGGCACCGCGCTTTCCTCTAAATAGGAAAACGCGCTCGTCGACTTCCTCTGCGCCAACAAGGACATCTTTGTGTGGAAACCCTCGGACATGCCAGGCATCCCAAGGGAAGTCACCGAGCACACCTTGAATATCCGTTCAGGCTCGAAGATGATAAAATAACGCCCGTGTCGCTTTGACGAGGGGAAACGCAGGACCATCGGTGAAGAGATCACAAAGCTTTTGGTGACCGGATTCATCAAGGAGGTGCACCACTCAGAGTGGTTGGCCAATCCCATTCTTGTACAAAAAAAGAGCGAGAAATGGAGGGTGTGTGTTGACTATACGGATCTCAACAAAGCATGCCCAAAGGATTCGTTTCCTTTGCCGCGCATAGACTAGATAGTTGATTCTACCTCGGGGTGCGAAACCCTCTGCTTCCTTGATGCGTACTCCGAGTACCATCAAATTATGATGAAAGAGTCCGACTAGCTCATGACATCATTCATCGCCCCCTTCGGATCATTCTGCTATGTCACAATGTCGTTCGGTCTGAAGAACGCTGGGCTACATACCAGCGTTGTATGCTCAAGTGTTTCGAGGACCTCATCGGGTGGACCATTGAGGCCTACGTGGATGACATCGTGGTCAAAACCAAACAGGCTGACCACCTCGTAGCCGATCTTGAGTAGACCTTTACCAAACTCCGAGCAAACAACATCAAACTCAATCCCAAGAAGTGTGTTTTCGGGGTCCCGAGGAGCATGCTGCTTGGTTTCATTGTCTCTGAGCGTGGCATTGAGGTCAACCTGGAGAAGATTTCAGCCATTACAAGGATGGGTCCGATTTAGGATATAAAGGGGGTGCAACGAGTTAGGGGGTGCCTCGCCGCACTTAACCGCTTCATTTCATGCCTCGGTGAACGAGGTCTCCCCCTTTTTCGACTTCTGAAGAAGGCCGATCAATTTAAATGGACGTCCGAGGCCTAGGAAGCACTTGACATGGTTAAGCAGCTCCTAACAAAGGCCCCAATCCTGGTTCCTCCCATCAAGGGAGAACACCTTCTTCTCTACATCGCGGCCACCACACAAGTGGTCAGCGCTGCCCTGGTAGTGGAACGGGAAGACGAGGGGCACGCCTTCAAAGTACAGCGCCCTGTGTACTTCGTCAGCGAGGTCCTATCTGACTCAAAGACCCGCTACCCCCAGATGCAGAAGCTCCTACACACTATCCTCATCACAAAGAGGAAGCTATGCCACTACTTTGAGTCACACCCGGTAACGGTTGTGACATCCTTCCCCCTCGGCGAGGTCGTGCAAAGCCAGGATGCCACGGGGAGAACCGTGAAATGGGCACTCGAGCTGAGGGATCAAAGCATTTCGTATGCCCCTCAGACGGCCATCAAGTCCTAGGTGTTAGCTGATTTCATCACAGAGTGGACCGAGGTCCAAATGCCGCCGGCGGTTGTCGATCAAGAGTACTAGACGATGTACTTCGACGGATCTGATGTAGACTAGGCCCGATCTTTTGAAAGGTATGATAGCATCAATTGATGGAGACTCAACATTCATGATCTAGGCTTCGAACCAAGACTGATTCGGACCCCCGCAACCGTTACACCACTGCTCCGTTGGTTATCAACCATGCGAACGCGATTGACCTCGCCGAGAACACAAGCAAGAACAGGATGAACGCAATCTAAAATTGCTAATAAATATGAGGCTTATGAAAACAAGGAGTTCAAGTCTTTATTCAAAAGAACTAATCGCCACAGGCGAACAAGATCTAGAACCGGTGCCCTGGTTCATAGCAAGCAGCCTTGGCGGCACAGTTGCAGCAAAACGATGTCTGC